GAGTACAGCAGCAGGAAATGTTTAGTTTGCATTAGCACTAACTTAATACAGTTCTGATATGGCAGTAGAAGTAAACAGTGAAGCTGTTATCAGTAAGGTAAAATTAATAATGTTGTGGTATTTAATTGAATATTTTTAGGTTTTGGTCTGGTGTTCGACCAATACCATTAACACCTTGGGCTCTGGAAAATCATAATGAGCATTTTGTGACATTTTGTAGACACAACGATTAATTGATTTATGAAGAAAATTATCGAGATTTATTCATAATAGAAATAATTGTTAGTTACAACCGTAAGGATTACAAACAGTGACACTGAATTATATGGATGCCTTGTTTACTGTCAATCACATTTGAAAAAAAAAAATGCCAACCACAAAATACAGTCTTGTTGTCAGACAAGACAAGCCTTGATTTCATGAAAATCTAAAGGATTGTAACTTTATCAATCTCAGAATGTGCTGCTGAATGTGTATTTGAATCTTTCACCTTTCTGTTTGAACCCCATCATGTCCATTTCATTTCTGTTCACTTCCTTTTTACTCAGAGGCCTCTGACATCATGAAAAGTATAGGAGAAGCAATACATTTCTTGCATTCCATCAACATTGCTCACAGAGACATCAAGGTAATACCTCGCTGTATATATTTGAGACAGAAATTGTAATGGAAAAGAAAACTTTCAACAGTGGACTGTTTTCATGGAAAGTAACTTAAGTTCATTCTAAAGAAATAAAAGCAGTTAGTAAAATTGCTATTGTGCTCTTATCTTATACTAATAATTTAATATTCTGTGCACGTCAGAGAGCTCATATTTAATGCCAAGTAGTACAATCAGGAGAAAAAACAAGAGATTGGAGAGATATAATACAGTAAAGTCCCCCAGGCTCCTTTACATATGAAAGTCAAATTGTTTACATATGTAGATTAAGCAAGCAATGAATGGCAGCTGAAATAGACCGATTATACAGCCCCTACTGGCAAACAAACAATGCTTTCCATGATTGCTGGGAGTTTTTTCTTTAAAATGTTTGTGTTTTTGTATCTAGGTTGGGTCACAGAGCACCACTACTTTTCTTTGTCTTCTGTAGAGTGAAAGTACATAAAAAGTGCTATTTTACAAAAACAAAAATATAAAGTTATAGTATAGAATAGTTCCACTATTCTTGGAAATGGGACAAAGACCAACATACATTATACCTGTTAAGTGGAGTCACCAGATGATATAATAAGATAATTAATATGACATACTTTCCTTTAGTTGATAGTTAAGACAGACAGACACTATGGGGAGACAGATAAGGGAATAACATGTGACAGAGGTCCTTGGACGGACTAAACTGAGAACCTTATAGTTACAAGATGTGCCACCTGCTAAATGGGAGAACCAAGCATAAAATTAGTTTATTTGCAGAATGGACTTCTGTGTCTGCTTCTCTATTCGGATATTTTCAGATAACACCTTTAATAGCCTTAACCACATCTTATTGAATATTAAAGACATAGCTGGACATTTTTTAACTTAATTTGTGAATGGTGATGTTTCTTACTGACACTTACTGACTTAAGACATAAGGAAGGACATCATTATCAAAAACACAGAGCTTTTGTTTGTTTGCTGTCTATTTCAATAATTATTTTATTTTCTTGTGGTTGATGATCAGTTTTAAAAAAAAAATGTTCTCCGGACTCTTGATCACGGTAGCTGTTTCTTTCAGCCAGAGAACCTGCTGTACACCTCCAAAAGGCCAGATGCCCTCCTGAAGCTGACAGATTTTGGATTTGCCAAAGAAATCACAACGTTAAACTCTTTAGCAACACCCTGTTTTACCCCCTACTATGTTGGTAAGACCACACAACATGTGATCTTAATTATGTCAGGTTGAAGAAAGAGGATCTGTCCATGCAGACAAACCGATTGGCCCCGATGTAATTTTGTTTGTCTCACTGAACTGTGTTTAGTTCCTGCGAGATTAGACCTCCTGATGTCAGTGATAGTCATATATCACAAGGATGATCCCAGTTATACATATTTTTGTGTCTGCAAGACAAAAATCTGTGGACTGTGTGGATTTTGGCACTGTGAATTAATTACTAGGTTTTGAATCATTTTGCCATGTGCTTCTTGAAACTTTACTTGACCCAGTCTATTTGTTGAGTGCTGGCCCTCAGGGGATTGAGCATAATCATCTGCAGGCGCTCTGCCTCCTGTGGAAAGTGGCTATATTGATGTGGGTTGTGAGGTTACATCCTGTGAACTGGCTAAAAAAGTCTATATACACTACTTTAATGACCTGGTTTTTGTCTTTTTTGTTGTTGTTTTTTTTGCAGTCATCTGTCTTTTATGTAGAATTATCAAAGGCATGAAATGTGAAACAGAAGCAATTTCTTCAGTCCAATTTAAATCATTTCTCTTGACACTGCGGCAGCTCCAGAAGTTCTTGGTCCAGAGAAGTATGACAGATCCTGTGACATGTGGTCTCTGGGTGTCATTATGTATATCCTGTAAGTCAATCAGTGTGACGCCTTTTTGGTAACTTTACTTATTTTATCTTGTAATGGTGCATGGTTAACGTTGAAGCCTATCTAAATTATTGTTGCTTCTAATTATATGATCCCTCTTGTCATTAAGTGGTTTTTTTTTTCTGTCTTACATGCAGACTTTGTGGATATCCTCCCTTTTTCTCACACCATGGTCTGGCAATATCCCCAGGAATGAAAAGACGTATTCTTAATGGACAATATGAGTTCCCCAACCCAGAGTGGTCTGATGTGTCTGAGGAAGGTGAGAGGGGGGCAGGTCAGAATTTGAAATGTTTTTTTTTTATCAGATTGCACGTTTGTCATGTAAATGCTCCTTCCCTCTACTTTGTCTAATTTTCTTTACTTTCTCCTGGGAAGACACACCACACATTGTTTTTTTGTCAATTACTAGCACTCTATAACTACTCTAAACAGACAACTTATTTTTAGTAACTCCAGTTGTAGTGTTCTGTGCCCTCAAAAACAAAAGCACAGCAGCAATGCGATACCAGTGTTAAATGTCAGTCTTCTAAATGTGTCTGGAGTCATACATATTTGCAGCTACTGTAATGACTGTCAACGATAGGTTTTATGTTAGTGTAGTATGTATGAACATTGAATGATGACAATGATGATTTCCTGTTTCAGCCAAACAGCTGATCTGCCACTTATTAAAAACTGAGCCCACCGAGAGAATGAGGATCACCGAGTTCATAAACCATCCCTGGATTAATGTAAGCAACTCCCTGTAGACTCGACTTCGTGTGAGCAACTGCTGGTTTTGAAAGATGTTTGTGAGATTTGGAACACTTCCACACATCCATATTCTCTTACCACTGCAGCAGTCGGTCGAGGTCCCACAAACGCCTCTTCACACCAGCCGCGTGCTGCACGAGGAACAAGATGTCTGGGAGAAGGTTAAAGTAAGTGTTGGTGTTGTTCATATGTGTCACTTTGTTGCTACTTCTTTAGACACACAGAAAAAGCTCTTGATTTGTTTTTATCTGTTGAAAAATCTGTCGAGTGGGTTGAGCATGGATTTGTTTTGTTTTTTTTGGTTGGGGGGGCTTAAAGAAAACGGAGTGTGTCAGACAGAGGGCAAACAGAGGTGCTGCAGCAATGACCAGTATGAAAACAATAATGTGTTTTTAAAACCCCATTTGAAAGCATGTAATTATTTTACCCCCCCCCCTTGCAAGAAATGAGCTAATGTGACCTCTTTAAAACTTCATGTGCATATTGTGCATACTGTTTTCAACTTGGTTTTTTGTGATAATAGTTACGTAATTTGTCATTATTAGGAGGAAATGACAAATGCCCTGCAAACAATGAGAGTGGACTATGATCAAATTAAAATCAAAACTATTGAAGACTCGACTAATCCTCTACTCTTGAAGAGAAGAAAGAAAACTAAACACTCAGCCACACAACCTCCAAGCTAATGAAGACGTGTTAAGAGGTATTAAGTTTCACACGAACACACACACACATGCATCAAGTAGAAAAAAAGCTTTCAAGGAGAGCTTTAGGGAAGTTGTTCATTATTAAGTAGCTCTGAACATTTACAGTATGTTTTAGCTGTTTGTATTTCTTTCTGTTATTATATTTTTCATTTTAAAACATAGAATTCACCTAGGCATTTTGTTGAATGTGCTTTAATGACTATTGAACTCTTTTTATGCATTCAAAAGTATTCTGTATGTGCACTTAGGCTTATTCATATCTAGTGTATGTGTTGTATATTAGGATGTTTTTTATTATTTTGATGTACATACTCCGTGAGTCATTTGAGTGAGCTTTGTTGGGATCAACTTTCAGACTGTTTCTAGGTTGTTTTCTGTCTCTTAAGTTTTTCTTTTTTGAAAACTATTTAGCCAGACTTTTTGTCCTGAGGGTATTGTTGAGAAAGTTTGCCAGCATCATTCATATTTGTCTACTGAATGACCATTACCAGAAACCACAGCTTTTGTTTTTGTATGCTGATGTGATGTCAGAAGTATTTCTCCTTACCACAAAATAAGAGTCTTCTTGCCACATTGTGTTAGTGCAGTGTCTAAAATGTACTCACCATGTGTAGCAATAATCACGCTTGCTATGCTTATGAGAGGGGTGATAATTGTATTTGATTGAGGAAACTGTGCTGTTAACTGGACTCTTCATGCTTCTGTAGCATTCATTTTCTCCAAAGCATCAATATAAAAAGAGTAGTGCATGAACTCTGTTGTGTGAAAGACATGGAAAGAAAAGTGTATGGCAGTCAACTTTTAGACGAGATGTACGGTGGTAAATGTTGCACATCTCTACTATCCCTGTCTGTCTTTTACTTTGGATTAAATCTTTTATTATTCTTTGTGGTTTTCCGTGTTGTTTCATCAGTTATACGTCAACCATTAGCATAAAATCAAATATGTTTCCAGCAGCTTAATTGTTTCTCACTAATAAAGGATGTTTTTGGTGGCACGTCAACACAACTCACATTTGCATTAATTGCCTTTAGCACCACTGTATATTATATTTTGTCACACAGGTCTCTTTCATCTATCAATTGCGCTTTTTCCTCTGAAGAAAAGAATGTAGTGAGACTTCAGAAAAACAGCAGTTTGTAAATGGCTTATTGATAAAATTAGCTAATGGGATAATTTCTAGTTGTGGTAGTTGTGGCTCTGTATTCAGGATGTCATTTTGTCTCAATACAATGTAATGTTCCCTTTAATGTCTGTTACAAGACTGAAATCATATGTGGAGGCACAACTAGCTAAAGTTACAAAATTAGATAAAAAAATACTTAAAAGAACTTAAGGGGAGCTCCAACAATCCTCAAAGTGAGACCTGCAAATTGGGTGGCAACCTTTTTAACGCAGGAAATGTTAGCTAGAGACTAAACGTCACACATTCAAGAATCGTTAAAGATTTTAGCATCATAGCATTTTATGGTAGCATTAACCTAAAGAGATAATAACTGGAATATTTAGTGGCATCCTGTCATGAACTGAAGAGATAGGTTAGCATTTAACCCTGGGAACATAAATGTCTCCCAAAGTCCATGGCAATCTATCCAATAGTATGTCAAGAATATCTAAAACCATATGGCTAAAAAACTGTCAAGAGAAATGACCAGCAGCACTTGGACTAAATTACATTATGCGCCAGTATAGCTCATTAGATTGGATACATGCACATGCTACTCTGATCTTCTCTTTTCCAAAGAATTCCCATGCATAAAATACAAAAATGTGTTTTAAATTAGCATATTTCTTTCATTACAGTCTACCCCATGTGTTGTTTCTAGTGAAATCCAAGAAATAGGTTCGTCTTTACCTTAAGGTGCAGCTCACAACAGCAGAACGGCTCCAGGCTGAACGTTTATTGTTTGCTGCCATGTAATTTGGACTATTTAGCCTTTTAGGTTTTCAGCTGTAGTTGGATCCTTGAATTAATGACACCCACACAGAATGTTTTAGATTAAACATGATGGTCTAATTACAGATCATATTTTCAGCTGTTGCATCCTGTTTTAATTCAGACTTTCTTTGTGCTGCATTCAGAGACACACACACACACACAAAACAAAGCTGTCTTGGCAAACACAAAATATTAATGTCTATTGTATTAAATACTAGGAGATTTGGACATCGTTTGATCACAACTGAATAATAAATCCAACATCAAAGTTTTCAAAGGGACATAGTTTTCCTGGAAACCTTTTAATTTCCCCCCACCAATTACAGTTACTTTGGATTATTTTGTGATGAAGGATTTCCCCCTGTGATTAATGATGACAGCAGGGTAATAACAGAATGATAGGCATCACTTCTTAAACATAGGATAATGTAACATCACTTGGAAAAAAATTAGTATTTACTGTTACATATTTGGTTTAAGTTTCCGACTAAAAAATTTTTTTGGCCAAAGAATGTTGTGTTGTGACTAAAAATCTGCCAAGTCCTTTGTGCAAAAGAGTCCCATCTGTGTATCCTCAGGTTCCCTCTCCACTAAAATGGGATGTAATTGTTTGGTTATTAAGGTCTTTTACTTGCTGAACAACTTCCATTTTCAAATCAGCACATTGTCTTTTACTTCCTCAGAGGGGCAAGGGAAACAGATTTGGAGGAAAAAACTGTAGTTCTTGAAACTCTGTCTTCAATTTCCCTGCTCCAATGGAGGACATAAATGGCAAGGCCCCTTCTGTGACAATCTGCAGGATGATAATGGTGTTCCTCTGTCTTCAGGCGCCAGTACGAAAACATATGTTAACTTTCCCCACAGTTTGAACACTGTAATTGACAAAAGTAGTGAGTACGTGAAGCAGGCATGAAGAAAGAAAGACATTTGTTTTTAAGTGGATGACTGTGGACAAATAACAGGTTATGTCATACTTTGTACATGTTGAAACATACAGGGTGCAATTGTCACACTTTAAACTTTAACAAAGCTGCATTGTTTTATTTAAGAAGAAACACTACCACTATTACAGTGTCTCGTTTGGTTCGTTACATTTCTTTACTGTAACCCCCCACCCTCTCTATAGCCTTCACTCCACAACAGTAAACCTCAAGCCAGACCTTTGAGTGTCTGTGCTAATGATAAGGCATGACACAGTAAGGGAAAACAAGGTTGTTAAAAAGCAGATGTCTTTACCAGTTCACAGATGGGATTGATATTGACATGGCTGGAGGTGATATGTTATAGGTTCTACATGCAAGTGAAAAAATGCACGTGTTCTAATGAGACAGGGTGGCTAGGACTGCAGCTGCGTAGAGAGGGGGGATATTTACTCTATACCAACAACATATTCCACTCAGTCTGAGAAAGACACAAGCGACGTGAGCAAGGGAGGAGGCGTCGTCTCTGATCAACCAACTGGTAGGTATACTGTCCCTACTGTACATTTAAAAAGTGGAGCAGAAATAATTAGATCTGTCTTAAATTACTGAAGCAGCATAACTGTTAGTTGCACAACAATTCATGTTCTCAGTGTATTACAAAATTGGGATTGGGCTATTAGGTAATACCCTACATTTGACTTATCAACTTTAAATTACATCTTTTTCTTTCTGGGTTTTCCATCAGTGATCATGCGGACAGTGGTGCTCCTCCTCATAATGGGACTGGTGGATTTGAGCATCGGCCAGCATTACAGCCAGTGGCAGTGGTTGTCCCATCTGCGAGGGCGACGGCGACATGCCGGCTGGCGGGCCGAGGATGAGGACTGCCCCCTGGAGTGCGACTGCCCTTCAGCCTACCCCACAGCTATGTACTGTCACAGCCGCAACCTTCAGCATGTTCCCTACGTCCCATCACACATAAAATATGTCTACCTGCAGCGTAACCAGATCACAGGCATCCAGGATGGAGTGTTTGACAACGCTACTAACTTGGTCTGGGTTGTACTCTTTCACAACCAGCTCAACTCAGACAAGATCGGCAAGAACGTATTCAGCAAGATCAAGCACCTGGACCGGCTCCTCTTGGATCACAATGAGCTTACACGTGTGCCTCCCAACTTGCCCAAGGCTATCACGGACCTGCGACTCGGGCATAATAAGATCTCAACAATCCCCTCCAGCTCTTTCGAGGGGATGGCCAACCTCACAACCCTTCATCTCCAAGCAAATGTTATAGAGGACGTTGGAGGTGTGTTCAAGGGACTGAAGTCTCTGACCATGCTGGACATGAGGAAAAACAGGCTGAGGAAAATCCCTGACAACCTCCCTGAGCAGCTGCAGCAGCTCTACTTGGAGTTTAATAACGTAGAGAGTGTGCCGGCGGGCTTTCTCACTATGTATCCCAAACTTCAGTTTGTCCGGTTGGGTCATAACAAGCTGATAGATAAAGGTCTTCCCTCCAATGTCTTCAATATCAGCACGCTGGTTGAACTTGACCTTTCTTTCAATAAACTGGAGAAAATCCCTGTTGTCAGTAGGAACCTGGAGAACCTTTATTTACAAGCCAATAAGATCAAAGGTATGGACACTTCTCTGTTACTTAAGATTTTTGGAATTCTAACAGTTTATATAAATGTAAAAAAGTAGTGATTCCTACGTTTTTTATTGTCCCATTGGAAAAAAAGTTATGTATACTATATCACTAAGTATAATGTGATTATAAACACGTTTTACTCTTATTTTTAACATTCAAAAATAACATTAAATATTTTTAACTATAATTTTTTTAATGGTAAACCCTGTGTTAAACTGTGTAAAAGGTGATTTTAATGTTTTGATTATACTTACGTGTACTTTAAATGCCATTCTGTACATGCACCCTGCAGCCATAACCTATAATGCTGAGCTTTCCTCTTCCATTTCCCTTCACTTAAATTCATCTACATGAGAAGCTACATAACTCAGATGTAACTGTTATAATTGGTTTGCTTGGCACAGCAGTTTACAGACTGCCACTCATTCAGTTTAACAACACCGAAATCTCACAAATCTTTTAGGAAGTTTAAACTTTTGACCCTTCGAACATGGATAATGGATTCGGTAATTTAGGTCACAGAATAAGGAAGTTTGATAGTTAGAAAACTAGTCTAGATCTCATTTTCCTTTATAGACAGTCTTTAGGCACTTTAGTGAGCTCAACATGCCCTCCCCCCCAGTGATTTAATGCACTCCAGTTGCTTGTGTGATTTTCGAAAGTAAAGTTCAGACACGCACCAGTTCACCCGTAACTCCTCCAGCTTCCAACCGTATTTGGTAGGTCAACTTCCTAAAAGTTCATATTTTTTCTGTTGTGTCCTTTTCTTGAAGTTGGATTTGTTACATTTTTGGCCACACCCAACAGCGATGTACCACCGCACAACGCTTTCGGGGTGGGGACTGAGCATGCAGCAACATTTTCAACCACTAGATGACCTCAAAAGCAGGATTTTCAAACTGTGTGTATCAATTGAAATGATGCCCTTCCCCTGAAGTAGGGTTTTTCCATAAACACTTTCTTCTGTGGAACCGCATACACAATACAAACTTAATATGAACAATAAAAAATCCAATAAAAACAAAGTTTAAAATTAAATTCAACCAATGAAAACAGAAAATAGACCAGGGCAAATCAAACAAGGGGAGACCATTTGTATATGATCTGATATTGTTACTCACTGGCTTCTAGAGTAGCTGTAATTTAGAAATGTAAGAAACAACTCTGGCGTTCTAGCACAGACATACTTAAAGTCCCAGGAGGAGGAATAAACAGCGGTACTCACCTCCCTTCATATTTCTTTCCTCTTGTGTCTTTCAGAGTTCTCCCTGAGCAGTTTCTGCACTACAATCGACATGACAAACTTCTCCAAGCTGAGAATGCTGCGTTTGGATGCCAATGAGATCAGTGCCAAAGACATTCCTGCTGAAGCTGCCTACTGTTTGCGGCATGTTGCCTTTATTGATGTGTAGTGCTTCCTGATGTCTCTTCCTGATTTTTCTCAACTCATTCAGGGTATAGCTACACACTCCCAACCTTTGTTTCCTGTCACTATATTTACATTTTATTCTTCACAGTCCACTCTATCAAAACGTTTTCGGGATATTGAATTGTTAAACTGTTATTAAAGCTGTGATTATTATTCCAAATGATTAAACAGTTCCAGTATTAGTCAACAGGAAATTCCACAGTTGTATAATCACATATCCAGATGACAGGCATATGGATCACAGAGAGCAATAAGAAAAGTCCAGATGACTGACATCCTTTCAACAAACTAATTCAATTATCAGTTCCAGTATTCTGGCAAAAATAATAATCTTAAGTATAAGTAGGTTGTAGCTGAGGACAGCAAGTTCTGCTTGTGTCATGTCTGGCAAAGTATAACCTGTATAAAACTGCCAATCATCAGCGTGAGACTTGGATCTTTGCCTCCACCATGTGGCACAAGGTGATAAAACAGCAAGTTTAGCTGGAATGAGACTTATTATTATTATTTGGCAAAGTGCACTTTAACATATCAGTGATAGGCATTCAATAATGAAATCGCCCATTTGATTGTACTGGCTGTTACATACATACAAAATACGTTTACTTAAAGACTATTAGACTAATTATAATTTTTCTATCAACATTTAAAGTTGTGTTATCAAGTGTTTTTGATTATATCGAATGAAAAGCATGTATTCCTCCTCAAATGAGCCTCTGAATTATCCAAAGATAATCATATATTAGTTTCATTACTGTATCTTTTTTTAGTCAGTAGCAGTGTTTTAAAAAGTGTTTAAAGCTGCAGTAGGTAACTTTAAAAAAAAATCATATTTACTGAAACTTTTATTATATCCCGATAGTAGTACATTAAACAGATAATCTGTGGAAGTAATCAGGTTCCTCAGTGCTCCTAATGGCATTTGCAAAAATCTAGCATGGCTGGACAAAAAGACCCAAAGCATCTATATTTGATGACCTGGGAATGAAACTCAACAATCAACTATCTTTCTCGGCTTTGATTGGTGTCTTTGTCCAGGGCGGTGGATTCTAATATAGGCTGTGTTTTACTGCTGTCACCATCCACAATCAGTTACTTGCAAGCCGTTTTTCCGGCAAATTTCAGTTCAGTCAGCCAATTCACGTTTGGAATGTTTTATTAAGCAGTACAAGTCATTATTTTAGAGATTTTGGCGTCTAGGCTCCGCCTCATCACTCCCCGCAGATATTTTACACGGAGATATTGGGGGAGTGATGGCGCAAATACCTTAACCCCCAGGTCGGAGCCTACAGGTGGATGCTGGGGTGGTGGTGGGGCTTACAGAGCGCAGGCAGCAATAGCTTACAGAGCAGCAGCAGCAGAGCTGAGCAGGCAATAGGTATGCAGGGCAACAGCGGCATTGACAGAGCAGAGGGGGAGCTGGGAAATTTGTGCAGTTTAAGTAGGCCGCACCAGATTAGAAGGGAGCGCTTGGTAGTGATTATGGAATAAGGCATGTCATGTGGTGTAATCAGCGCAGCTCGATTGACCTGGCCTCCTGAACTACGCTTGGCAGGCTTCGCTCCATTTAGTTTAGTTCCTGCTTATGAACAACAACTTTTGGTACTCAATAAAAGCTCCTTGTGGTTTCTCAGTTTGACCGATGTGAGCAACCATAAATGGCGCAAAACAGAAATTGTGAGTTTCTGATAGTGCTTCCAATGTAGAAAATAACTTCCTGCCCTACAGTTTGTGCCACAGGAACGCAGTGATGTGCAAAGAAGCTATTAGCACTAGTAGAAGCCAGAGAAACTGGTTTTTTTTTTGTTTTGTTTTTTACAGATTATCTATCTACTGACAGGGTATAGTGAAAATTTCAGCAAATATGACAAAAAGTAATTTTTTATCAAAGTTACCTACTGCAGCTTTAAACACACTTTTTAGGGTGTAATTTCTGAGCCAATGTGTATTTCACTGTATATCACAGATGGATGTGTACTTGACACATGTAGTCAGTAAGCTAATATCTGGATTTATAACTGTTTGTTTCCACTTAGCTGGACAGCTATGAATTATACGTCATTGTGTAAAATGAATATTTTTATCTAGGAATCCACTACTTTGTGTCTGTTATTACATCTAAGAAAAAAAAAGGGTTTCCAGACTTATTTGTCCCCTTAAATGTTGACAGCGATATATTTTTAGCAACAACAACATGTTCTGTTTCCTCTCATTTGAAGGTAAAAGAGGCAAAGAGGTTGGGAGAGAGAAAAAGGGCGGCAGCTCTCTTGACAATTCTAACTGGTCTTAGGCAGTTCCCACATATTTATTGTTGAAGACAACTTGCCTTTTCATCTTCCACAGCTGCCTTTAATCCTCTGCAGAAAGGCACTAAATTGAATTATAGGAATACTTTCCTTGTTTTGTAATGGAGCAATGTCTTGGGATGAGGGATGGATTACTGCCAGCGCAACAGTGGTTTGCACACTGATAAGCGGTAGCCTGTGAAATTAAGTGTGTTATAGATCATGTTATATTGCAGGCTGCGCATGGTTATGCAGAGGAGGCTGTGGGGTAGGGCTGTGTGTTTTTTTTTTTTACTCCTCCGCTTCCTACACAGACTCTTCAAAAACAAAATAAAGGCCAGCACACATGCACATGATCACATGTGGGAATCTTTTGACAGGATTTACTGATGTGCTCCTCTCCGAGACCACACAGAAATGTTACATTTTGTGGGGAAATGTTCTCAAACTCAGACATTATGCAATTTATTATTATAAAAAATTAGGCTGGACCATCACTGAGTAAACATGAGTGAAAGTCATGACAACAAATGGGAATACACTGCCCTTTCTCTCTCTCAGTAATATCCTTTTATTAGCCACTGCCACGCAGTAATGATTAAATGTAGAGAGTAAATGAAGAGTAAACTGGTGTAGCACATTATTCCCACCAAATCTTGTCACGCCCCGTGCAGTGAAGACATTTCTTGTGAAGCTGCAGCAGCGACTGGTGTGTATCCATTGAGACCGTTTCTCGCTCTGCCAGTAACAACAGCTCTGTGTGTGTGACCATTCAATAACAGGATATTCTCCAGAGAAAATGTTGAAACTATTCACACTGTTTTGCAAGAAAAATGGATATACAAATCTTTGGTTATAACGTTTAGAAATTGGCCACTTGAAGAATGCGTATTGATCAGCATTGTAAGCTGATAATTAATGGAACTAAACTGCTCTCCAAAGCAGTGGGAAAGGCAATTTTGGCAAGGATAAAAATACTTTTAATGCTCATAAAGTGTTACTGTAAATCTGTTTGTTAAATCAGTTTGGTTTAACAGAATGTGGGCTATAAAGTGGCCTAAATTGTTTAATGAGGTCATTACCTGCTCTTTAGATGTTATTCCATTGGGTTCATATATGAATGCACTGGCAACTGGACAGCTGGAGAACATTATATTTTGGATTTGGTATTGATGAAACTTTTATTATCAATACGGAGATTGAATAGAGTCAAACTAATAAATAACTTGTGTTTGGCAAACAACATTACAAACAGTTGGTTAAGTGGTAGCAAATGGAGACACATTCAACATACATAACTAGTGTAAAAATAAACCTTTTTTTAGTGAACTTGAAAAGATATCAGCAATAGATAACGCATAAACATAATATACATAGCATATTATTCCAAATAAGGTCCATCTTTGCTCTCAGTCAAAGCGAAGCTTCCGATTAAATAGGTGACTATGATACATTACACAGACAATACTGATATGAAACATGTTCATGATGGATAAAATATACAGCTTCACAAGTGGCATGTCTGCTGCTGCAGCAGCAGTGTCTTCTTTATGGCCTGAGGAGGAGAAAAATACAAAGAATATAAATGTGTGCACAGCAGTCATGCTTTACATTGAGGCTGACACAGGTGTTTCTTTAAGAAATGTAATCGGTTCCAGCTCCAGTTGTTAAACGCGCCATAAAACCTAGGAGGTCGGAAGGCTACTCACATTATTGTGGCTCCATCTCTATGTCCTGCAGGTCTCTGCTTTAACCCAGATGACAAAGGTATGTATTGAATCAATAAACATGGAAAGACTGAAGATTTCTTTTTAATTTAATTTCATTTATTTTAATTTAATACAGTTTAGTTTGTCCTTACCTTATATATGATCTTGATCTGTGAGGGTTGTGAGTTTTCTGTTTTGGAAAGAAAAAAATTTAATGAAATAAAACCAACTACAAAGTGATTATATATATTTATTTATATACACCTCTGTTAATTTGGAAGTAACTAAATCATTCGCAAAGAATAAGCTAGATTTTTGACTGTTGATAGAGTAGAGAGGCAGGAGGATTCACAGGGATGTTTTTGATGAAAAAGTAATACAAATATATCAGAGTTGGAACATACTGAGCACACACACTGACAGCACAGTAGAAGGTAATAGCGCTGCTATAGGTAATTAAATATTTTTGCATTACTTAAAGCCATCGTAACTGCTGTGATTCCTTTCATCCACCTTTTACATGTGCAGCAGGTGAGCGTTTTCAGTCAAAAGATACATTTTGGGTGGAGTATCACTTTAAAGTACTTGGCAATGAGATGTTTACATTATTTTGTCCCTTGTAGACAAAGCAAAACAAGATCTTGGATCTCAACTGGTGGGTGGTGTCCCAAGGTGGGTCACAGGTCAGTTTCAATAGGATCCCGGCCAAAATAAATCTTTTGAAGTCTTTTGTATTTTAAGTGTTGCACTTTGTGATTGCTTCCCACTGCAGGGAAACTGTGCAGCAGTGATGGGAATTCCAATTTTTTTGGAAGAGACGGTTTGTTTGGCTGCGGGTGCGAAAAGAGCTGATGTTTGGTTCCCGTTTCAACCTTCTTGTAGTTATAAGGTTGTGAAGCCTTGATATCAACACTACCATATTGTTCCAAAAATGTGCAGGTGGACAGAGCTTGCATGTGTCACAAACTGCTTATAGTTTACAGCCAAGTTACAGTTGTAAAACAGGGTTCACAAGGTTGTGACCTGTTAAGACCTATACATTACAGCAAAGCCTGGGAAATGTTTGACCTTCTGTTTTTTCATGGTACACTGTCCAGCTAAATGGACTTTACAGGATTTATTTTTGCACATACACTCGGCGGCCACTTTATCAGTTATACCTGTACAGTCTATTGCAGTCCAATACAACTATTCTGCAATAAGGTTCTGCAATAAACTTTTACAATGTCTATAACATTCAGTTTTTTTACACTTTCATCGAGATGTGTAACAACACATTAGGTAATAACACTGCATTATGTAATACATTGTCACTATTAAAGGCAATAAAAGTCCCCAACAATATATGTAAATAGAAATGATGTCATATTGTGGTGGCTATTACCAAATGTGGGAGTTTCTTTTTTTATGTAATGCATTTTAAATAAGATGAAGCTTTTTCAGGAGCCCTGTCAAAAGACCATTGCAGTAGTCAACCCTGATAGAAATAAAAGCATTAATGAGTTTTTCTTTACATGAAGTGCATTTGTAAGATAATAACAAGCTGATTTTGTTACTGTTTTCATGTGGCTATTAAACTAAGATCACAGTCACCTATAATGACATATGGTCATAAGAGTCTAATTTAATATTTGGGAAGTATCATTTAGATTATTGTGTTGTGTTTTTGTAAGTTGTTACATAATGCACACTATTATTACATTTTCATCACAAAAAAGTTCAACTCCCATAATATGTAATCATTTATTACAAAACATGGGGAAATTGTATTAAATATTGCATTCATGTTGTTTATCACAAAAAGCAGCAGAATGTTACAAAATGAGGGTGTTATTACATAATGTGTTGGTGTTAAACCTATGTTTTAGCACTGAGGTCATAGCTAGTGGGGGTGTTGTACTGAACCGCATTGTATTGAGAGGTTTTTTCTAATATTGTCCTTTTCAATATAATATATACCGATACAACACCACCTTTAACTGTGACCTCTAATAAACATGTAATTGAATTTACAGATTTCTGACCATCAACAAAAACTCATCATTATAAATGAGCTTACTTTGTGAAGGTAGAACTGTTGCATTGAATGAAATACATTGTAAATGTGTACCTAATAAAGTGTCCACTGAATGTATAGAAAATGCAATACTTGCAGCTGCATACTGTAATTACACAGCTCATCCAGCTAACAGCTATAGAAAAGAAAATTGCATGTATAAGCAGCATTAAATATTATTTAATACAGCATGAAAATTAATCATGTTTGCTGACCCAGGCTTCATGGTGAAATAATAAATACAGCAACTGACACTAACATACTGTTTCTGTGGTTTTTAAACAGAATATTCACAGAAATGTCCACTTCCTCATTTCAGCATTTTAAGCCCTTGCATCGTCCTGTAGTCACACATTCTCACCGAGCACACATGATTGCTTACTGCTTAGGCCTTAAGGGTCATTTGGCAGGGCAGCATTTACACACACATGGCGAAAAGCAGGCAAGACAGGAAATAGAGTGAGTGTGGTCATGGGCACTAGGCTAAGAGTAGCGTTGCACAACTGGAGAATTTTGCCTCTCATCAAGCGCTTAATTGCGATTACCGTCAATATCTGTGCATTCACTGCCAGCCATGCAGCATTCCTCTCACATGTATTATTAAGTCACTGAATGCAGTCAAGGATATAAGCAACCAATGCTTCCTTGATTGACAGTCAACCCCAGATGCCCTTTCAAGCAAGTCTTGTTATTTGGCAGTTAAAAGCTACCCTACCTGGTGCATATTTCTTGTTTTTCTACCGATTGCTGGTTGTTTTTTCTCTGATTCTGCCAGCCTGCTGAAAACTTAAATGTCTATCTGAAGTCTGATTTAAGGCATAATCAAAACCTGTGTTTAAGAAACCAGCTTCCAACAAAGTCTTATTTGCGCATGCATTTAGCTGACTGCAGCACTGATCCCCATGCAACTGCTTATGTGGTCAACAATGTAATTTCAAGAAAAGCATTGTACTGAGAAAAATCACACTAACTTGAAAAAGCCTCTGAAGTAGAACCATTTGTTTACCATTAACTCACCACTTGTGTGGAGCTCTAATGTGATTGAATGCTGAAAGTCACTGACGTAAGCAACCTTCAGTTCTGGTGTAGCGTGACAATTAAAATCAATCTCCTGCCTCCCTTGTGATCAAAATCCGCCTGCCATTCAACATAACACGCGTGTGAAAGGACTAAGCACAATGCTGTACTCTGACTGTGACTTAGTACTGTCACCTGTCAGCGGATGCCTCTCTATGTGCAGTTGTGCACTTATGACCCACACCAAACACATTCGTCACATGCATATTAGGCATTAGCAATAGTCCTGCAATTGATTAACCAAAGCTCTGGCCTCAGAATTAGAGTTAGTCCAGAAGCACTTCACTGTGGCTGCCCAATGCTCCTAAATATCATCTGGGTCGGATGCAGAATACAATTTTCTCCACAAGGTTGAATAAAATGTAGCTTATCTAACATGACAAACTAAATACTAAACACAAACACAGAGCAGATTTATTTAACACTCAAATGCTGTACCTATTAGCAGCCCTATTAGCACATTATTGGTTTCTATGTGTTTTTTCCAGCTGGTACTGTTTCATGCCTTTTACTTAATTAGGTTCTTAAGCGGTTATTACACCTTTTTATCTGTTTCCTGCTTATAGGACATGAAAGCACTGCAGTTGCTGCAGGATTAATTTTATGGTTATAGTTTGGAGATAAATTATCCTAAATTATGTTAAGGTTATGACTTAGGCGTCATGCATAAAAACAAATGTAGATTTGGAACCTCAGCCAGTTGAAAATCACCACTCTGAGTCATACAATGCATTATCTGAAATAATGGCGCCAAATAGCTTCAAATATGAGTGAGAGCATAAATGCACTCATATGCATTTGCAGACTTTTGTGCATGTGCTGCTGCAAAATCTCTTCTGTTCTCACCAGTAAGTCCAGCCTCCACCTTGTTTTGTTATGTTCACTATTTACCAGCGAGGGAGGGCTGGTACGTCTGCAAGAGGGAGTGCCCCAGAGAGCACAGAGAAAGCTGCCAAGGTCTGCTTTATTGCAATATGACTGGAATGCATGGCTAGACTTTATTAGGGCACATGAGATTTAGGAATTAACAAAACAGAAGCACTGGTACCTTTTGTGTGATGAGACAGTAGAGAGTAAGTATGAACAGCAGTCCTCCACAGACGGAGGCGATGATGAAGCCAAGTTTGTACAGGTCTCTGACTGGTCTCCTGTGCGAGGCCTTCACTGAATTCTTACCATAACTATCTGTAGAAAAAGACACGTAATCTGTGATCCCAGTGGCTCCACACATACATCTGCACAATTCATCACAGAGCTTCCAGAAGAGATTCCCACCTGTAAAATGTTGTGTGGGTGACTCTGTGGATAGCTCTGTGGTAGAGCCAAAGGTTTCTGTGTATTCGTGCTGGCATCTCCAATCTACTGGCGCGTCGCTCATTGTCACCAGCTCCCAGTAGACAGACAGCACCTCTGAAGCCCGCTGCAGTGCCTCTGAAGGAGACCCTCTGTAGAGCATCTCAAAACTCTCTGGCTTATCCTGTGGTAGATTCCGAGAAACATACCTTAAATATTTTCACAAGTGCTGCAGATTTATCTCCTCCTGCTGGGCAGCTCCTCACATCACATATTTCTTTTTTGTGTTTTATATTATAGAAAATTTAATCCCTCAGTCCTTTGAAACACTAGGCTGCGAATTCACCACTCAGAAGCATACACTCACCTCAACCTCTTCATTAATTTGAGGCACACATTTCTGCGAGTAGATGTTGAGGATGAGCGCTCTCAGGGACTGAACATAGCCATCATTGATTGAACCCCGACCGTATTTGAAGTGGGTGGTGAGGAGCTCCAGGATCCAGGGTAAAGCAGCTTTTACAAAGCAACATTTGCTCTGTGGGAAATCAGAGCATGGGGTAATAAACATGAAAGCATGATACAGTTAATGGAAAGTTTGAATCAAAGGCTTCGGAGGGGAAACAGTACCCTAAAACAAATGTTACCTTACCAAACTTCTCCGTTCTATGAATGTGTAGGTTATTGAGCACCCACTTCTCAGCTGGTTATCCATCTACAGAAACAGTGACAGATATATTTCAGCCCGTGCTGTGTAGCATGATCAACACTTCGTTGTTGTTTCAACAGCTGTGTTTCTAATGTTTCAGGACCTACCAGATGCCTGACCGTGAGCAGGTGCTCCCTAGTGATTGAGTGTCTGCATGGACCAGGGACCTCAGCCATAGTGAGAGGGAAGCTCAGGAACATAAGCACACACAGACACTTTACCTGCAACTGACATAACCATTGATTATCTATATGTCAGCAGTACATTATCTTCACATCCTCAAGTCCCCCTGGAGGGGCTGGCACACACACATACATTTGCACACATACTCAGCTGGAAAGCTCAAGTAGATTAAGCATGTTAAAACAGCAAAATGAAAAATATTCTCAACCACCAACTCTCAACCATGACAATTTTAGGGCAAATGTGGCATCTTGAACTTAACCATGTCAATATGAATGCAGTCCACATAGCAGTCTGTCTCTGATGCAGTTTCCTTCCCAATTTGTGAATATGTTTTCTTCATACAAGAGTTTTCTTATAAATTATTTTACAGGGAGAACAAAGTTCAAAGCTGACTTACGTGGAATTTCCTCCAAATTGTGCCATAACAGTTTAACAGTACACATCTGAGCAATTCTTGCCTTTCCATAGAAATGTACTTTACAATGTTTTGAATAAAGGAACTTTCTTTCTTTTCTCCCCTGCACATTGTTTGTGTGTTACAGTTCGGCTTCTCAACCTGGGTCATGACAAAGTGTCAGGTTTCTGTTTGCGTTTGGGCAATAGTGGCCGATGTTTGTGCGCGACCTCAGAAGAACCTATCCCGGTGTTAGATTAGTTCCAGTTATGGTCAAATAGTGCCCTCTACCATGGAAGCTTGGCTTGGGAGAGCAACATGCGCGGACTCCTTCTGTAGCTGATGCCTGCTACCAAGCACCTTTTGGCAACTGTAACAGTAAAATGGGCTCCAGATGGATTTAATCCTTCTACAGAGGATTAAAAGAGGGTGACAAGCATATGTTGCTCACACTGCAGGCAAAATATCTGCACTGGAAGGTTTTCCTTGATAATCATCCCCTTGACTCACTTGACCTGTGACTTCGATGGCATCTATCATGACAAACATCATGACAGATGCCAACAAAACACTGAATTGAAACAATAAAAAATGATTTATTTGTTGCCTGGTCAACTTCTGAGATGTATTAAGACACAAAAGACAATTCTTTGAAATCCACCAGGGAGAAGAAGTATTCTTTTCGTACTTTGTTGTCTGTTCCTCATATAACGCTGAGCTGTACAGTTTAACTCTTGTTTAGATTTTTGAATTATGTAACCTAAACTTCATGCAGTTCCTGGAAAGATTGTCTGTCATGATATACATGAAGTATGTACATGCAAATTTATTGCCAGGACCCAAAGGAAGGCAAAAAATGTTGTGCTATCATGGTTTTAACTATTAAATCAACTTTCTTTAAAATTTTTGTAAAGGTGGCATTTAAAACTGAGACGATTTAAAAAAAAAAAGGGATTCTCAAAGTAAAACAAGATGCTACGTGTAAGCTGAAAGACTATTATATCATCCTCTGCCTGTTATTAGGAACCCACTTCATGAATAATGATAATCCAATTAATGTAATCTAATAAAACTATTAATGTGACTGGTATGTGGCAAATGCAAGAGCACATGATACAAATGTCAACTGTCACATGATTTGTTTTCTTCATGCTGTCTATGATATCTGTATTTAGGTCAGCAAACTCCACAATCAAGCAACAAACTTTAAACACAGACTTACACAAGCAGTGATTATAGAAGAAGTTCTCACCTACCTTAGCTTTGCTCTGAATCAGGGTTGACACAAGGATGGTCATCTGGTACGTGTTTGACAATGGAAAACACCAGACTCCTCTGTCACACACATTGAAGCAAAGAGATCCTTTTCATATATTCAGTTCCACTCCACAGAAAGGAATTTGCTGTTAAGTAAATTTGACACTTCGTCATGTGGCGCTGTTTTTCAGTGCATTGCCTGATGTGCTCCTCCTGCACAGAGTGAGTTCAAACTGAGACTAGCTGCTTCAGCTGACAGACGGCCCTTTTAAAGACCTCCCACCTCTCTTCTCTTTGACAAGACACATCGCCTCTGCAGTTGTGTTCTGACAAATTGGTTTTTGGGTTGTAGATTGACTGGAATATTTATTTTTGATCAACATGTTTGGCAAGGGAATTATTAAAAATTGAAAAATTGCACAAAAAAAAACTTGTGGGAGATTGAAGTGGGTTCTGACATCTGTTATTGTTCTTGAAACTCTATCCCTTGAAATCAACATGCCTTTAAAACACTAGGAACTCGCAGAATAACAATTCTTGAGTTTTCCTCAAGAGAATAAATGGACCCACTGAGCAAGAAAAATGAGATGTACTCGATGATCACAGAGAAGATCTGGCGATCACTGTAGGGGTCTGCAGAGGTTATCGAAAGCAGCACATGCTCGAGGAATCCTGAAAGAAAATCTGGTTTGTTGGGACAGTGGGTGTGTGCTACTATTTGTGAAACCTGACCTGACCCTGGAGAGAGACCCACACATAAATGCCTTTATGAGTAACTTTTGATGGGGAATTCTTCTCATAACAGATCAACAGACTCCAACAGAGAAAAAAACTATTTGGCCTGGGATCTATTAACAGAGGAAGTGAATTTCTGCACTTTGCATTATGAACACATTCCTAGTTTACATCGTAAACACATGTATCTGAGTCATTTACTGCTGTCCTACTGTGAAATGAACCGTTTTCATTGTTGCGAATTGAGTCAGTGGTGTAAAATAACTAAGTACATTTACTCAAGTACTACAGTTAGTCCAATTTTAAAGGGACTTGTGCTTTGCTTAAGTGTTTCCATTTGTGCTACTTTTGTACACTTTTGACTCCACTACATTTATCTGACAGCTGTAGCTACTATAGAAAAGAAACACCAAAAACATAAACATCAACAGAAAGAAACATTAAAAAATAAAATCAGCTTCACCTCCAATGGCAACAATTTATCTATAATTATGTAATTATTTGTTAATCTAATAATCTAATATGCAAAACAATGGAAGGGGCCATGAGTGCGTGTCATTTTATGTGTGTAGATTTATTTTTATTTATGAATAATTTTATTGCCAATGACTGAATGGGTTGTAATATAACTTAAAAAATTAGACCTTCCCCAACTTTCTCGGTTGCCTGTGGAGTTTTGGGTTTCTACGTAGGGATGCAGATTGGATTTTCTGCATAAATCCAAAGGAGGTGACGTTTTTGTACATTGTGCCTTTTCTCTCTGCTTTGCTACAGTTTCAATAGTGTGCAATAGCAAACTTTGTCCACTCATGTCTACAAACGACCTGGACCCAACGAAATGGAGTCCAACACAAATTCCAAAGTCAAAGCTAACATGACTGCAAAGCTTGTGCAATATATTGTGGTTTTAGATGGCTACTGCTTACACAGACAAATTGCTAGCTAGCTAACATAGCAAAATAATATCAGTTAGCTTCATCCTTCCTGTATGTCACTTTTAGCCGGATGATGCTCGCTCATGCTTACGGACTGTGTACGGAGTACGAGCAGCAGGACGCTGCCTTCAGTTCACTTAATGGCCATTTGTGTCACTATTAATAATTGTTTTCTGAAAGTTACATTTTAGTGATAATATTTAGGTCCTTCTGCTTGAGTAAAGATTTGAATACAGAGCTTTTACTTGTAATTGTATTTTTACACTGGGATATCACACTATATACAGGGACAACTGTAGCAGGAACATGAGGATAAGGCTAAAACAAAGTGCCACTTGTATAAAGAAACCATAATGTAGGTGACCTTGCTCAGTAATGTTAGATAAACATCAAGCTTAAGACTGATAATGTGGGAAGCCTGACCAGAGTGGCTGGGATGATAAGAGGAGACAGACACGAAAAACGTGGTATGGAAACGAATTTAAAATGTTTCATTTACAAAAACAAAACAAAACTGAAACTGTAGTACGTAAATTATATTAACTTGACATCAGGTGCACACAGCTACACAATAAATTAAATAAACCATTCCATCAGCGGGAGTCAATTTGGACTGTGACATTATTGTGTCCTGGTCTTAAGTACCATCTGGTAAAGCATGCTTTCGTGTCATTCATTTTGTAAATCCACTGCAATGCATGATGGTCACTCATAAGAACAAACGCTTTACCAATGAGGTAATGTTTCATGGTGTCTAAAGGCCATTTAATTGTGGTCAACCTTTCCTTGTATCGCCTGATGTATTACACAGAGAACTGGTTTCCATCCTCTTCGTGTAGTACTACAGCTCAAAGACCTACCCCAGAAACATCTGTCAGAATGCTGTCCCTCACTGGTCGGCTGCGATGGATCAGCCTCCAGCCGGTCGTAGATAATGATGTGTACTGGCTCGGAAGTGGCGAGGGATTGCAAACCTTCCATCAGCTGTTCCTGTTTTATCTCATGTTTTAGCAACAATGACAGATCAAGGATGGAACAATTTACAATCATGGATAAAGTAAGCAATATGGCTTTGATCACCCACTTTGTCACAAATAACATTAACCAATAAATTAGCCGTCTCAAACTCAAATTGGCGTGGGACCACTGCTGGTATTCTCATAGGAGTGCCACTTCAACATTCAAGTACTACATGAAAGTGCAGTATTATATGTCCATTACTAACATCATATTTAATAAAAATAAATTGTTTAGGATCACTGCACCAAATGCCACTGATTGCACCAGAACAACTAAGGCTGTTGCTGCTAAACCACTGATTATATTGAATTAAGGGTGTGTTTAATTTTATATGAGTTCATATGACACACAAGTTTGAGTAACATTTGCTAAACACTATAGTGCCCAGGGGTTTTAGGAAATGATTTAACCTTAAAGCATGTCTTCAGTGTGGTTGAGTGCCGCTGACAGTGTAGGGAAGTCAGGAAGTATTGAGAGACAGGCTAACACATTGCTAGTTTGGCTTCATTCACAGTGAGAAATATTCAGAATAACATCAGATGGAGTGATGTTTAAATTCAGGGAATGATCAAGACATCAAGAGGAGTCATTGGAATAAAGCAGGTGTCTTTGCCCAGCTTTTTATGTGCCTTGTTTTACAGCATATAAGAAATTCTCAAGGTCTGTCTTGTGTAACTCTGTGCACCACCCACACTCGATCAAGCCAAATCATGGGAGCAGAATATTGCTGCTCGTGTTTAAAGGAACATTTTTATTTAGCAGTCAGCGTCCATCTGTTTCACATGAACTGTTTTACTATTCCTACCATTGCAACTTGTGCTTTTGCTTTTATGTGTTTTCAACCATAATGTTTTTTGTTCCATATAAAAAAATTTCCAAAATAAAACTGTAGGGGTTATAGGACTAATAACCCCTTTTGATACATATAATCAAAATATAGTATATGGTCCACAATAATCTTGCATTTTCACAGGTCAGTCTTTAAACCAAAACGCCTTTGAGACAGAATGAACATACTTTGTATAACAAGATTCTGGAAATCTCAGAAAGGGATTTAGTATCTGGAGGACCGCTTTGATAAAGGTCCCTGATGTCTCTTGAACAAAAAGGAAGTATGACTTGTCCAGCAAAATCTTATTTTGTTATGTACAACTAATGTCTTTTCTTAAAACCACTCAGGGACCTAAGATGCTTAATTTGTGCTGAGTGATGTAGAAAAGTTGCGGGAAATGTACTTGGGTTGGTTCCCAAAATGTATTTCCTGTTGATGGATAGAGCCTTAAAGCCAGGGTTACATAAATATAGAGAGAGTGGGTTGTCCAACTTGATGCAGAGCTTTGGTAAGAATTGTGCCAAAAAAGCCAAATGCTAGTTGTAGATTAATTTAACTTTCTTCATCAACTCTATTTCACTCCACAGAGGTTTCATAAATACAAACCTGAGGTATAAAATGGGTTTTTTAGATGTAGTGTACAAGAGGTCAAATTTTTGCATTGCACCTGGTCAAGTACAAAACTTAATACCTTCTGGCACGACTTCTGTGACCTTATGAAACTGGATTTGTTGTTTTATTTAAAGCTCCACTATGCAACTTTTCTACCTTAATATCCAGATGCTACACTGACTTGTATTAAAGTAAATGGTGCCTCTGTGATTCCCACTCCCACTCTCATGCCCCGTGCGCTTGTTCTTGCACTGTGTAACTTTGGGCTGAGGGTCGGGATGTGCATAACGCCTTACAGCACTATGTCTATGATGACCAGATCCCAACAAACCAAATGTGGGACAAAGATGTTTGTGTGAAACAATGTGGAACATGTTAGCTTTGTTGTAGCTGTTGTAGCTTGCTGTATTTCCTTATCTTTGTGGTACTTTTCATCATGTTTCACCGAAATCTGCATACCTGGTGACTAACGGGGTGAGACAATTTTCCTACATGGGTGTAGCATAGCAAAGATGGTGACAACCTACACTTGACCCATGTGTGCGATTGACATGATGATTGACATAGACCACAGCCGCATGGTGATAGTTTTTCCTGCTTCCTTCACAGCCCCTGGATAAAAAACAGAAATGTTTGTCCTGCAGTGGTTTGACTTTCGAAAAATATAGCCAATAAACATGTGAGACATTGTTTCAGTGTGGGACCAGGCACAAAAATGCTGTGCAGTCCCACGCAAAGTGGGACACATGGTCATTCAAACTACTCAACTATATCACCAGATTTTGGTAAAACTGAATTGTATTTTATGGACAAAACGTTTTCTGGTTTTCCCTCTGATGTCCTCCTCAGCTCTCAGTGATTTACAGAGTTTCCTGATGGACAGTAAAGTCACTGTTAAATGCAGCTGCTATTGGCTAGACTGGGTGCTCAGAGCACTGGGGGAGTGTTGGTGTATACGCTGGTAGCAGAGGAGCTTTGGACCATTGGGAGTTTCAGGCCTGGGACAGTGGGGAGGAATGCTGACTGAGGGCAGCGCCAACATCATTCCAGAACCGGAGCCGGGCAAACAGGCAATGTAACTGGGCTCAGCAGCTTCTGTGGACATAGCTAATAACAAAGGCGAAGAGACCTAAGAGGATGCTGATGGAGGAAGCCAAGAACGGACCGGACACAAAAGGCTGTGATATAAAATGCTGCAGACAGATGGCAAGCTGGCCTTGTTTCTGTTGGACTAATAATTTATGTTAGCTGACTGATGTCTTGTGTTGTTGCACTTGCTTAATGTTAGGCTGTGTTAGCAAAGTTGTCAAGTTGCTAATTTATGATCATAAGTTATGTAATCATAACAAATGCATGTGTATAACTGTCCATATTTCTCTTGGTGATAAAGTGAACAACCAAATAAGCCAAGAAAATGTACAAATGTATAAACTATTCATTTATGTATTATGTAATTTGTACTATATGACTTCATTATTTTTCAGCCTTGTATAACAATAGAAGAGGAGAAAGACAGCCAGCACTTTGTCTTCCATTAATTTTAAATTTTGGAATAGGACAAAAGTTGAATACAAGGTGATTATCGAAAGATTCGAAAATATTTCTTGGCTATGAAACGTGTACGTCTGTTTTTATTGGAATGTGTCTGAGTGGCTGTTTGGGCTGGTTTCCAGCCTGAATAGTTCTGTTGACTCATACTGAGACAGACATTTTTGCAATGGTTTGAATATACTGTTGATTCAATTCCAGTACAGAGATATCCACCCTCACCTCACTGTCTACTGTCAACAGATAAAATCCAAACCAGACAATTCATGGATGTGAGAGCAAGGAAGCATGGCACCCTCACTGTCACATCTGTGTCGCATGAGAGGACTTTCCCGAGCAATTCAGAGAAAACGAGACTACAATCTGACAAGAGTGTCTGATAAATATGTGTGCTTTTATTGTTTTGCTATCTTTATCTCTTTTGCCTGCTAAGTAAGCAGAAACAACTTTGTAGAGTCAGTTTTAAAATCACCCTGAAGAGGCATGTTTACTCCAAAAGAGTTTTGTATTTCCGGGCTTTTTGTGAGCAGCTTTACTTAGTAAAAACAGGATTTCAACTCTAACCCATGCTTTCCTGGGTGACAAAATTAACTGTTTTTTAAAAACAACTATAAATAACTCTGTTTTCTCTCAGCGTCAAGGATCACAAGCAGCACAGAAATTTGAAAATATCTCTAATTTCTAATCTCTCCAGTTTGTCTGTGTCTTGCTCGCTTGCTGCCTTTCCAGGGTTGTGCTTTGTGACATTATGCTTGACAAAAGTGTGAGTGAAATACAACTATTTATTATGTTAAATACATAGAAATGGTAGATAAATGGCAACGGTGTGTATAAACTGCCGCTCGGAAAAGATAACCGTGTCACGTGTGAACATGCTGCAGCAACCTCTATGAGGACAATATGGGCGTGATGGCTCTCCTTGCAGGCACACATAATTTTAAACAATGATTATCTTGTCTCTCAGTCAATATCATTTTATATTATATTATATTAAATTAAATTAGACTACACTATATTATATTATTTTCTATATTATATTTTATATTTATGTTCATGTGAATCTTCACTTATCTTAAGATTCTATAGAAAATATTCTGTTCAATAAATATTGTTTATTACCACATTCTTTTTTTTATGGGTCTGCTTACTTTTAAACTGACAGAGAGAGAAAATTAAGGAGAGAGGATTGCAGTGGGAGCACTGGTGGTGTGTCAAGTGTCACTGTGTGGCAATGATAAATGGTTTACATGGATCAAGGGTCATGCAGGAGAGCCTCTTGTTGAATTTTGCTTAGGGCTCCAGGGAGGTCAGAACCAGCTCTGAATTGAGAAAACAGAATTTCTAACTGTATTTTTTGGTTGTTAATAAAATAATATAAACAATGATGTAATGTAACCAAGTACTATACTTTGAGATACTTGTACTTAACTTGAGTATTTCCCATTTATGCAACTTTATACTTCTACTCCACTATCATAGCGGCAAATTTTATACTTTTTACTCCATTTTCTGACAGCTTATATAGAGTTTTTCATACCCTTCCTGTCCAGTGAAAATCATGTATCTTCAAATGTGTTGATTTGCTATAAACTGAAGGATGTGGATTGTTTATGGCTAGAGAAAATTAACCGATTTAAGAAAAATAAACTATTTTAAACCTTGGATTAGCTGGAATTAGCTGGAAAATGCATTGTTACAAAGGCTGTTTTTCTGAGCTCGTGAAAGCTTTTAAGAGATATGTGGTTCTCACAGGACAGCCACGCTACAAAGATATGATGATCTTATCAAATATAATGCATTGCTGTAGATTAAACTACCCAACTGTGTATAAAGTAGTTCAAATTGGCTCAAATTTTAACATCTACAGCAGTAAAAGCCCTACTGTACAGAGCCAACTTTCAGTGGGAGCAGCACACATAACTGCCACACATGAGACAAATGTGTATCTGATTGTTTTACCTTTTTACCTAAAAATAGAAATGTCATACACAGACATTAGTAAACAATGACAAATATTTATGTGACTGCTCTGGTGTGGCTGATTAAATCTGCTACAGCAATCTGTTTTCAACTTAAGCCTTGACTTTCACATGATACAAAATGCATTCGATAAACTTGAAAGGAAACAATGCAGTCATTATTGAAGTTGAATCGAATTCAAACCCCAGTAAACAAGTTTATTCTTGTTATGTCAGTACAATACAAATATGGATTTCCACTGTTGCTGTATGATAATAATCAGCAGAGTCACACACACATAAACTTTACATTTGCTGGTAAATGCTTATAAATTAAAAAAAAGAGAGAAGGTGTTCAGTGCAACAGGCACACAATATTATATAAAAGGAAAGCAGGACTTGCCAGAAATGGAAGAATGATATTATTTTACGTGCACCATTTTTATAAAGGAGATGTCGTCATGAGTTATCATAAAAAGAAACTTAAAGGACCAGTATGTAGTATTTGGTGGCATATAGTGGTGTAGTTGGAAATCACTACACCTCACCTCAATCTCCTTGTTCCAAGTGTGTATGAGAAACTACGGTGGCTGAGAAAATTGCAAAAAACAACAAAAAAAAAACAGTAGAACCAGTGTTTGTCTGTTCTGGGCTACTGTAGAAACATGGTGGTTCAATATGGGGGCCTCTGTGGAAGAGGATCTTTTCCCCCCCTCGGGATAAAAAAAGGTCTTTCTAAGGTAGTGAAAACATAACAATTTAGATTTTCAGGGGATTTTACACTAATGAAAATATTATTTCTATTTTTGCCAAAAGATTTTTCTAAACGTTACACACTGGACCTTTAAGGGAGAACTGGACAAATAAGAGATAGCAGCAAAGATAGAGAAAAATAAAACAGAGCAACATGGCGGATGTTTAACTTCTTGTCAGACTGCTGTAGCGAATCCTATCCGATTATTGCGACGGTCAAACTCTGTGTAGTAGCGGGCAATGAAGTTGGCTCCCAAAATCCAGATGGGACCTGTAGGGGGCGGCACATCCAAGCCCCTGAAGGTGACAGTGCAGACATCCCCTTCAATCTGTGATTGCTGGAGCCACAAAGAAAAGTTGGTTTTATCATAATAAGCCACTATAACAGTATCACACAGTGGTGGAAGAGGCACTTAGATACATGTAAAAACCTACAGTCAAAATTCTACTTGAGTAAAAGCACAGAAATTCTATCAGCAAAATGTACTTAAGTATCAAAAGTAAAAGTATTTGCTATGCATTAATGTCCCCTTATGGAGGCCTAATGTGCTTAAAGATTTCTTATGTGCACAAGATATTAACTTGTATAACACAACCAAAAAGAATAGAAAAGAAAGACATTTTTCAGGACTATGTTTTTTGTTTTTGTTATATTATATTATTATATTTTATGAGCCCATATTAATCCCAGAAGCCCGTTGCAGTCTAGTGTTCATTACTGAAAACATCTGTGTGTGTGCAGGGTCGTAATCTATAATAACAGTGCTGCAACAATTGGTTTAATAATTTTTACGGGAAAAAAAGTACAAAATTCTCCAATTTCAAATGTTAATATAGTATTTTCTGGTTTCTTTAGTCCTCAGCAATAGTAAACTAAATATTTTTGGGTTGTGGACAAAACAAGACATTTGAGGACATTGGGCTTTGGGAAATAGTGATCAAAATATTTCACAATTTTCTGACTTTTTATGGACAAACAGCATCATTTTCTTGATGAAGAGATAATAAAAATAATTGTTAGTTGCAGCCCTAAATAATAATGCATAATATTTTATACGCCCCATGGTTCCCATGGTTTGATTGTAAAATCAAAGTAACCAGTAATATTTTCAATCTGAAATAGTGTGGAATAGAGGTATAAAGTGCAAGCACCCTGAAATTGTACTTAAAATGGTGGTTATATCACCACTGTATGCATTCATAATCCTGCTTACCCATAAGATATAATCCTCCTGAGTGAGGGAGTACTCGTGGCCACCCAGGTGGAAAGTGACGCTTGGCAATGTCTTAACAGTGTCACAGTTGACTTTGTACTGATGAAGAACACGCAGAGAGAATGGTGATGACTGTCATGACTTTTTTCCAGACAAATGTTCATTGTGGAAAACCATGTTGCGTGTGTTAAAACTTACTCCACTTTCATCCAGCTGTGCTCCGATGGTTTTCATCAGCATGGACACAGAGGAGGCTGGACCTGTGATGTAGGAGGAGCCTGTGTCGATGACAGCAGTGCAGCCCTCAGTGCAAAACATCTTCTCCATCCCCACAGAAACACTGTAAGAATGAGAGTGATAGGAAATACAGTATAACACACACACTTTGTAAGTTAAGTAAAAATACAAGTACAAGTTACAAGTAAAAGCATTGAAAATGTAATGTAAAATGTCATATAAAAGTATGTCAGTATAATCAGGGAAATGTACTTAAAGCATTAAAGGTAAAACACTTAATGCAGAAAAAATATGAAAAAATGGATTGTTATATTACTATTGTTATTAAATATATCGTTAAATTGTTATTACTCATGCATTCATGTAAAAGCAGGATTTTACTGCAGTAGTTGGTTCAGGTGGAGCCCATTTTGAACTATTATGTATAGGACTGTAACTATTATTTTTATATGCATTCATCTGCTGATTATTTTCTCAGTTGATCGATTGATTGTTTGGTTTGTAAAATTTCTGAAGATTGTGAGAAATGCTGTCACAATTAACAAAGTGTACAAAGTGACACTTTTACAATGCTCTAACAGTCCAAACCTCCAAATGTATTAAAAATAAATTAAAATATTTAAAGGAAAAGCAGAAAATCCTCACAATTGTGAAGCTAGAACCATGAAATGTTTTGATTGATGATTACCAAAATAGTTGCCGATTCATTTTCCATCTAATTTATTAATCGACCAATAATTTCAGCTGAAACTGTTAGGTAGTTTAATTTCAAAGTCCTTTACTTTGTGAAGTAACTAGTAACTGAAGCTGTCCGATTGTGGAGTAATAAGTACCTCAAATGTACACTTTTAACTAAAAGATATCACCATGAAACTTCCCCTGGTGATTACTTAAATTATTACTTATATTATTAATTTGTATTACAAGTTTTCTGGAATGTTAGGTTTCAATATATAAATGAGATTATCTAATGCTAACTTTTGGTCAAATCTACAAATGCAATACAAAGTGTAGTAAAAAAAACATTTTAATATGGTTTTGTTTTCAGTGTTTTTCTCATTGTAGGCACAATAATTGTTAAGTACAGTACTACAAAGATCTTACCCTTTCATGGTAACTTCCCACTTGCCCGTCTCTCTGGTGTCCATATAATTAAAGTTTCCAGTGTAGTAGTTTGGGTCAGTGCCGCCGAGGACCAGCTCTCCACCTGGGGAGTGTTTTGGGTCCCTGAAAACAAAAAAATATAAATCACCCTTCAGTCTCACTTTTGACTGTCACAGCTGGAGCTGTGATTATAGGGATTTTTGTTGAACGGTTACATGCACTTTCTGCTGAAGTTTAATTCTATGAACTCTCATTCTTATGATGCTTCCCAGAGAAAGGAAAACATCATTTTATTTTTTCAGCTGGTTTCTTCTGAGCATAATTGAACATAATAAAAAGAGAAGTATAGAAAGAAGTATGAGAAAATATATATTTTCCCCTATTTTCTCAAAACACCCTCTTGTTTTACACACTTTTTTTTGTTTTCCCTCACTAATGGTATTTTTTCTTCAGCTCTATGAGTAAGATCCAAAAATAACAAATGTTCAGACAAGACAATATTAGATTTTTTTTCATAGGCTACATTAAAAACAAATCTTCCAATTATGTAATTATGGAGGTATTTTCATTTAAAATGACAAAGAAGCAAGAGGTCAGTTGACTCAGTTCATCCTACCTGCTGTAGTAGACAGAGAACACCTCTTCTCTGAGGACATGCTGAGACATGATGCGATCAAACACCGGAGTGATGCCATCGATGGCCACGTTTGGATAACCCATCCCCAGGACTCCATCAAATTTAGCAAAAATAAAGGGCATGGCAGACAGAGCGGTAGCCTCTGCAAACACTTGCACCACAGGAATGCCACCAACCTGCAAGAAAAAAAAATTAAGTTGAAGGTCAGAGGTTGGAAATGTTAGGAGAAAGGCGTTGAATGGGTGTTGATTTTGAACTCACCACAACCACATCCTCGCTCAGAAATCCCCTAACATTTCCAGAGGCATACTGGATGGAAAATCCGGTTCCATTCTCAACGTGAGTCTGGGATTTGGAGGCATCGTACCTGTTGTGAGTAACTAAAAGTTCAAAATGCATTTGAGTCATAAAATTGATTTGGGTGATAATTCACTGTAGATTCATCACAATGAGCGTCTCTTGGTCACATTGTCATTTAAGGCATTTTTATGACATTTTAGTATGTGCAGACACTTACAACAGGCAGTGGAGAAAGGTGAGCAGCTTTGTGAGGGCACCCACAGATTTGCTGAGCCTGTGTCAAACACTACGTTGAACATCTGGGCCGGAGAGCCGATGCTGATTTCCCCATAGTACTGAGTCTATAGGGAATAAACAGTAAAAATATAAATTTATGATACAATTTCTGACATTCCAAAAGCAGCCAAATCTTATCGTTTTGATGTTGTTTGAATATTTCTTTGAAAACTTTTTACTAGTGCAGTAAGCCACAAATATAATTTGAGGGTATGAAATATGACATTGAGAGTATGACTCATACACAAAGAATATTTTAAAGTACTAACTCAGAGGAAACTGGATCTGCTGTTTTATTCTTGAAGACGTTATGACACTCATCCAAGAGAACTGATGAGCCATCTTGGATGAGGGACTGCTTTAACCTTCAGGACTCAAGTCTGTTTTTGTCTTCAAGACTAAAACAGACAATTCAGTTGCCTTCGACTCAGTACATCTAGATATCCCACCACCTGTTGGACTCATATCTTTCATAAAAATGACTTTTGAAATGTTCCTTTAAATATGTAATGCACAAAAGTGTCTCACATCCAAGTAGTTGGTTAGAGGTGTGGGAACAGTCCCGTTGTTCGTGTCATCTGTGCTCTTCTGGGCCAGCTCAGTCAACACCTGCTCTGCAGAAATACCCATCTCCCTCAGTGTCTCTCTGATAGATGGCATCTTCCGCAGGCCGATTCTGGAACCAAAACAGAAGGACATGAAAATGAATCTTCAAGCAACAGAAACTAAATGAATACAAATAGGAACTGTGGACCATATTACTAAAGGAAGTCTGTGAAGTACATTTTCCGTGCTATATATCTGATACATATGCCTGGTCATCATCCCAGTATAACAATGAGCCTTTAATAGAGCACAGACTGCTTTGCTTTCAGTGCCTAGCCAGAAAAAGGAACAAAAACACATGTTAAGTCAATGCTGAAAACATTAGCTTTTGTAATGAACCAATAAAACACATTTGTTTTCCTGTCCTTGTTTGTTTTGTTGTTTGCTGTCACTACTCTGCTGTAGCACGTATGTGAATGCAATTATGCAGTAAATCCTTACAGCTATACTTAATTCTTGTTTTTCAAACAAAGCAGGCAGGTACACAAAGGAATATGTTTCTTACCTTCTCAAGGCATGGCTCGAGGTCACTGTCAACATTAGTGCAAGCAAACACATCCAATAATTCATCAGTTGTGCCATGGTGACTTCTCTGATAACAAGCAGAAAATACCGACCAGTAAAGAAGGCTGTATATGCAAAGTTGGTTTTCCTGGTTTTGTAAATATATTCCACGTTTATTAAATCTGAGTTTATGAAAGCTGCGACTCTACTCCCTGCTCTGCCTGCTCCCTCGACTCTTTTTATACCATGTCCTCTTCACTGTGCTCTCACCCATGGGCCACTGACTCTGGCTGGGAGCTTTCCTGGAGGTGACCACTTGAAAACAAGTTCTGCTTCCCTCCCCCCACCACAACCTCATCTACCCTTCTGCCTTGGTCACACAACCCCTCCTGTGATAAACGGGTTCCAGTGAGAGGTCTGAACTCTGACCTCTTAAAATACATCGAAGACAGAAAGCAGGGGCGCAGAGCTCCTGAGATTTCTGACGTTGGTAGGACGGACACCTTGTCTGCGGGGCTGTGAGAAGCTTTAGAGGGTTGGAAAGATGCTCTGAGCTGTAAGGTCAGATGAGCTTTTTTTTTATCCGTTGTTTGCCTTTTCCCTAGATGTTCTGGTTTTACAAAATGGCTGATTTAATGAAAAAGAACAGTATAAGTTAAAATGGTGATTGCAGTTTTTGCTGCGGTTGATAATGTTTAGCTTGTCTCTTTTTCCCACAGCCATCAAGTCCTTATCTGTAAAGGAGATAGGCTTTACACGTCTCTGTGTACCCTCTACTATGACTCCTCTCGTCATGCAAAGTTTACTGCTGCTTGTGCACCACTTTAGTATTGATTTTCACATAAACAAGCTAAGGGGGGAAGGACAATACACATAAGTTCAGTTCAAGGTCTTAGATGGGGATCATTGGCAGGAGACGGAGCCCATGTTGAGTGTATTATGCAATGCAGGATTGGCAGTGTGCTGTGTTTTCGTACTGTACCTCTTGCTGCAATGCTCAAACTTAACAAGGCTTAGCACCTCATCATTCTCATTCTCACTGAGTTTTACCACAGGGAGGATTCCCACAGTATCTGGCCTGTCAGGATTGGCTCGTGTGTTGGTGCTGCACCGACCACCCAGTCGAGACAGGAGATATGTGGGCGTCTACATCAGGCACAAGCTCAGACAGCCCTACTAGAGGTCAGAGGTCAGCTGCTGAGATACTACCAGAAAATGATAGTGGTCACACAGCTTATAGAGGTACAACAACAACACTGTACTGTAGTAAGAAGACTAATTTATGCTGCCAATAATTTATGAGCAGTGGCTAATCTTATTTATAATAGTAATAATAACTTTATTTATACTGAACCTTTAAAAACAGTACAAAATGCTTTGACAGACAGAGCAAAACCAGGGCAATATAACAGAGAGCCAGGCAGGATAGAAATAAAGAACAAGAAGAAAAAACATGGTAGAGGGAGGACAACCAGGGTGTGAACTACAGGGGAACCAGGCTCCACTTAATAACTCGTGAGCTGCCCTGAAAACCTGAGTAGCTTCATCATCATGGATCATGCTTAGGATTAAGCTATTATTGATGTATGATCTAATGCATTTTAATAAAGATACTTGCCATCACCATCGAAGCGTAGTGGTGCAATATAATACACTTTTTAAATCCAAAGATCAGAAAAAAATGACTTTCTTAGTCTTGTGTTTCTACAGTGATCCAGGAGGTACAAACCAAACACTGGCTCTAGGTAGGGGTGTTTGCTTTTTTCACACATTTCACAGCCATCGTAGTTTCTCCTTTCACTCCACTACACCGCTAACTGCCACTAAATCCTACACACTGGTCCTTTAAAGTAGGAAGTATTGACAGCAGTGGAATAAGCTGTAAACACAATATCATGATGACCTTATGAAACTGTTGGATGTGTAATTAGGCAATAGATTGCAAACATGTCTGCCACAACAGACATAACTAGCAACATTAGCATTCATTTGAAGCTGTGTTTCTGGACACCTGATGAATGTAAATCAAATATTATTTCTCTTTCTCACCAAGAAATATCTTGCCGTTTTGCTGCTAAATGCTGTGCAGTGTGTTAACTGGCTAGTCACTACACTACACCACACTTTGTCAGTGTACCATTTGGTGTAGGGCAGGTAACATATGGGGTGCTTATTTTTCATTAAAAAGACAATTGAGGTGAATGAAAGCAGTGAGAGAGAACCAAACAGCAAAGTTGTGGAAAACAGTGAGCTGCAATGGGCGAAAAAGCTTTGCTGGATGATAGTTTTCTGTCTATTCATCACTATGACTAATCACTTTCACACTGCATGGCCATCCAGTCCTTTAATGTAATAATTGATTTGTGGAACTTTTTCTCAATACAAGGCCAGTATTACCTTTTAATCTGTCCTACAATTGGGCCTTACAGGTTGGTACTGACAGCACATTTTGGGGACAATCTCACAGACATCCGACTTTTGACCTGCTTTGCTAAATGGATACCCACAAGTCTCTTTCCCACACCGCCTGAGAACCCATGCGTCACTCCAGCCTGGCCTCCCACCTCTCCACCGAGTCAGCCCCACTGGTGCGCATGGGAAATGTAAAACAATCTCCTGGAAGGTGATTTATTTGAGCTTCATATGTTTTTTAGGGTCATTCATATCCCCTTGGTGGCCTGCTTGTCAAGTTGAAATTTGCACAGAAACCATTTGAAATGTTTGAAATGTTTGTTAATTATAAAATGGAGAGATACATTTCTGATCATGAAAACAAAGGTAAAGCAGACAAATGTGTTTATAAAAGAGGAGGCTGTTGAAAAAGGTGCAGCAGACTAAACCTCAGACAACTTTCTGCTGACAGACGCACATCTGAGGGAGAATTCATGTAAGGGGATCTTGTAGGGTTGTGAGCTATCTATCATGATAAGAAAGATATGAAGCAGAGCTGTGCTTGTTTGCAGGAAATGGGACTTGAGGGAAGCTATCACTCAAACAAACAAGAATGATTTTCAAAGCCACAAAAGCTCAACCTTAAATCTTGACCAGCTGGTATAAGCCACAAAATCCTAAATGTTTATGTGTTTTTGGCTTATTTCTAATCAGTCGCTTTATACAATGTAGTGTACAGAATGCAGAGAACAATACTTTGGTTTCACTGATTTTATGCTCAGTTGTGCTTTTGAATTTGAAGCCAATGAACTCCAAATTAGAGATGACGAGACTGTGATTCCATCTGGAGACAATATGTATGAAAATATGTGGGACTCTCTTCGCAACAGGAGGTGAAAAATTTTGAAATTGAGACCAAAAGATGTAGTAAAAACATATTTTATGTGAGTAGTATGATATCCTTCCCAAGAGCACTGTGAGTATTTAATTTTTCTTTTTTTTTGTAGGATGATTTATCATAATAAATTAGTGTTTTTCACATGTTTGTGTCTCTTTGGACTTTTTTTTTTTTTTTTTAGAGGAGTAAACATGCTGTATCGGTCCTGGCCAGCAGAGAGCAGCATTGGACTTAAAAACTCACCAGGACAGAACTGATGGGGGGAAAAAAAGAAAAGGTTTCTCCTGAGGAGTCGGTCTGTACCTAAATCACATACTACTCTGAAGCACATGTAGAGTATGAAACAAAACATGACTATGTGTGTGTGTGTGTGTG